TGTATGTATGTATGTATGTATGTATGTATGCATGTATGTATGTATGTATGTATGTATGTATGTATGTATGTATAAATGTATGTATGTATGTATGTATGTATGTATGTATGTATGTATGTATGTCTGTATGGGATTGTTGGTTTAGGGTTTAGGGCCGCTGTGGAAAAGCCTGTTGCAAAAAAAGAAAGGGCCGCTTAGGGGCGTAGGGGCGCAACAAAAAGGCTATCGGCTATTGGGCACCCGAAGCATCCGATGCCATTCCGAGGACTTGTCAAAGAACAAAGCACTGGAATCGTTGAACGTGGAGCAGAACTGTTTGAAGTATCTGCCCTCTCTGAAGGTGCGGTTGGTTGTAGATCTTGAGGCTTCAAGAGGTCCGTGGTTCATGGGGGGGGGGGGGGGGGGGNNATTGAGAGCACAAGGTTTAGGATTGGGCTGGTGGGGGTTAGGGTTTGAAGGTATATGATGTGCAGCTTGGGACTTTGTTAGGATTTCAGAATGGAGGGTTTATAAACCGGTTCAAGGCCGAACACAGCATGTCAGTTAAGCATCCGCAGAACTAAAACCCTACACCCTTTTTGACCCGAAGCCCAAGATCGTGATCCTCAAAACCCCGAGAAATCAAAGTATACCCGCGTGGTGGTCCCAGCAACTCCGACACCACCTTCCTTGGCTATGAAGTGGTTCAAAGCAAAGGGCCCCTGAAACATCTTAATTCTAAACTAGATGTTTCAAGATGGGTCTTAAGACCCATCCTGAAACATTTAGTTTAGATTTAAGATGTTTCAGGGGCCCTGACACATGTTTATAAAATTCCTGGGGTCCCCGACAAACAGAATTTCTAGGCTTAGCGTGCAAGGTTGGAATAGAAGGTGTGGGGTTTGGGGTACAGACATTCCGTCTTCCGAGTCGCTGACTTGGTTTTACTGTACAGTCAAGAGAACCATCCCGAACAGTCCTGGGTATGGCAGAGAATGCAACTTCCAGGAGATGCTATGCTAGGGTGCCTAGGGTCTAGGGGTTTGGGGGTGTTGGCGTTTCGGGTTTAGGGACTTTGGATAACCCTAAACCCTAAACCCTAAACCCTAAGCCCTAAACCCTAAACCAAGCCAGTTGCAAAAAGGGACTTTGGCCATTGATCCCCATGAGCTGCATCGAACGGAACACCTTGGACTTCAAGCCTCGTCCGAGGCCCTAAGCTGGTATAATAGAGCCCACCAAAGGACAAGGCCCTTCGAAGGCCGCCACGCCGCCCAAAGCCTTTCGTGTCGTAGCTGTCAAGTTTAGATCTTACCTTCGCTTAGATCGCACAGTCGAACAAAATCTGATACTCCTGAATCCGAAAGCGAACCTCTCAAAAGGCTGCAAGACGCCACTCCCCGCTGAAACAAAACCACACTGGACCTGCCTTTGACAGGGGTTGTCTCGCTTGGAGTTCCTCGTAGCCGACCAGCACCTCGGGCTCTATAGGCTCTTTCTGCTACACCAACAACAATAGGGCTTGGGGTTTAGGGTTTAGGGTTTAGGGTAACAGGTCATCTTGGTAGTCGCGACCATTTAGATGTGGCTTCAGGGTTCAGGGGTTTGCGCTTTAGGATTAGATTAGTATTATGTCAGTTTACTGCATGATGGTCCTAGATTTAGGCCTGATCGCATGTAATGTCGGGGCCTCAATAATTACCTGCAGCATTTTTTTTGCGGGGAGGGGGGGTCCTTTCTTATAATTAGTATATGAGGCCCCAAAACCCTATTCCAATTATGAAGGCCCTATATTACACACTTTGTAGGGGGCCAGGGTCCCGCTCGGTCCGTCATCACCCCAAGCCAGAGCATACTGCGGAAGCCTCCATGATTAGCAATATTAGTCTTTTGGGTTCCTTCTTATACCTATACTACAAGGATGCCCAAAACTCTATTCTACAAACTAAGGCCCCTATATTACGCAAAAAAGCTGCAGGGAGGGCGATGTTCAGGCCGCACTCCCAGCCCAAGCTCTGGAGGGCCCTTAGCTGGGTTCCTTAGCTGGGTTTAGGGTTTAGGGTTTTCGGTTTAGGTTCTAGGTTTGGGGTTTAGGGTTTAGTAGGGTCAATATTCCCTTCGAAGAAACGGGCGGCTGTGCAGTTCAGAAGTGCTTCTTTCCAGTTCCCTCCGCCTCCTGTCCCTGAGCCCAACCTCCCCTCAACCAGCCTTCAATCCGAAATCCCGCCGAATTCGAGTCCGAGCATGTCGGCATGCAAGGAATAACCTGGAGGAGTTTCCGGACATAGATCCGAATTCCAGGCGCCTCCCATCCGAACTCTCCCCGAAACAGTATCCATGCTCCCTTGTGTTCTAGGCTACCTCCTGAGCAAGAGCAGAACCCCGGAGATTTGTTTACGAAGCCTTATAAACTGTAGGACGGGTTTGATGGTCTGAGGGCCGTCAAAGGTGTCGGGTTTCGGCACGTGGGTTGAACTACCGGGATTTAGCGCTTGAGAGTTTGGGGCTTAGGTTTTCCGTGTCCAGGGTAGAGGCTTCGACGGTAAGGAAGCCTGCTTGTTTGCACAAATTACAACTTTGATCACGGTCTCCAGCTACAATTTTAACTGGGCTCCTACGGTTTGGTGCTGTGCCTTGAAAATCCCTAAGCCAGACAGGAGATCAAGTTGACTTGAACTCAAGCTTCGTAGGATCCTTCCAGTTTGTATTGTACGGCACTGCAGAAAGCTGCAGAAAGTGGGCTCTACAGTAGCAGTTGGCATCGTAGGGGACACAAGGAGTTCAGCGTAAACCAACTCCCGATGCAAAAGACGTCTCGCATTCATCACAGGAACCACCACCTCCGTCATTGAACCCTACCCCCCCAGGTACCTACCTAAACCCTAAACCCTAAACCCACTATATAGGGCCCTAGGGGCTCTAGTACCCTATATAGTAGGTACCGGGGAGGTTACGGGAACCTTAGGACTAAGTCTCTGGTTTAACCAAAGACCTTAGCTCCGTCACCTAAAACATCGGCTGCTATACACTACTGGTAGAGTGTGTGTGTGTGTACATATAATGTATGTGTATATATATATATATATATACACATATATTTGTATCTATATTTATATATGTATATAGAGAGACATAGAGAGAGATGGATAGAGAGAGAGCGATAGAGAGAGAGAGAGAGACACTTCGGGGCCAAGTTGAATGCCACAGGAGAATGTGTCAGGTAGCCTGAACGAGAGGGGGCGAGGAGAAGATAGCAGGGCACTCTGCTTCACAAGTTGAATGTGTACTCGAGTCTCATACATGACAACCTGTCTGATGCCTGCTGGCAAACCTTAGCACCCCTCCTCCGTTCAGTCCGCACCAAAAGGGGTGCACGGGCGGGGAAACCTCCCCCTCAGGCCCGCAGAAAGAAAGAAAGAAAGAAGGAAAGAAAGAAAGAAAGTGAGAGCAGCTGTTGCAATCTCTTTCATGTGGTTTAGGGTTTAGGCGCTTGAAGATTGAATGGCTTGGTTTGAACTACGTACTAACACACTCTAAAGCCTCAAGCCGACAGCCCGCAATCCCAAAACCCTGATTACATCCTTGACTTGACCTTAAACCTGAGCCTTAAAACCATATTGTCTTTATAGTAAACTAAAAGCTTTAAGCACGTATGCCTTGTAAACTACTCCCGTTGATAAAGCTGAAACTGCGCAAGCCCGACAATCAAGCCTTGAACCGCCAAACCCACAGCCAAGCCCTTGCACAAAAAACAAACCTGACCTAAATCCTAAACCCTAAACACATAAGTTGTACTGGGTTTGGCAGGCTGTCGTTCTTGCAACTCAACAGCAACCGGATTGAATCCGTGCCATCTTTGCCTTTCCCCGGACTCAAGGCGTGCCCTGTTTCAGGTCTAGGGCTTCAGATTCAGGTACGAAAAGAGTTTCTTTACAGGTTCTATGAGGGTACTACTGCAAGGGGTTTATGGAGTGGAGGGTTTAGGGTTTAGGGTTGAGGGCTTCGGCGGCATAGCATTCAGGGCAAGGAGGTTTGGGATTTGGGGCTTAGGGTTGAGGGTTTAGGGTGCCTCAGGGTGCAGGGTTTTTTGTTTTCGACGTAGAGTTTAAGCTGAGTTTGGGGGGATGGAGGGCTTGAGGGTTTAAGGTTCAGATTATCTTATCCGAAGAGATTATTGCTCAGAGCTCCGGGTGTTCGCGGATTAGTCTGACTGTTATGCCTAGCAGTCCCTGTCATATAAAATCTCCCGCGCACTTCATCGGAATCCGGCGAAGGTCTGCATTTCTGCTCCAAATCCTAAAAAGGTTCTTTATATGCATTTCCTAGGGAACCTTTTGTGAATCACGAAAAG